AACATCATGGTTTTAGAGGCTTCCCTTTGCTTTTAATTGTTCAAGTGACTCATATAACATTTCTCTCATTGATCATACTCTAAATCTTTATTGAACTTTGAAACATAGGAGGGAAATACCTTTTAAGACAGGAAACAATCAGAAAATATGGACAAAGGTTTTATTTATGTTTCAAGCTTTGCTGATGTATAACTCCTGCCTAGTAAGATTGGCATGATGTTGTGCAATGTCATGGGTGGGGCGGAGAGGGGGGGAACGAGCAGATGAAAGCATCTCTTGCCTTCCTCATGCCAACTCCAGTGATCAGAGATTCAAGGAAGAGAGGACTGCAGTGAGCTGCATTACTGTAGCCAGGACAGTTGTAAGTGAGGGAAAAGAGTTTAAGTTTAATTAAATGGGACTGAGATGCTTCTGCAGCAATGCACCAATCCTGGTTACCAGCTATGGATTCCATTTCCGTATCAATGGCATTAAAATGTGAAAAATCACAAGCAAGGCATGCAGTAAGGGTCAGAAAATACATTGACTATTGACCTGACTAACCTTTGAGATAAAGCAGAAAAGAAACTAGAGAGAGGTTTGGGCAAAGATAAAGGAAAAGCTAACAATGGGCATTATATACAGAACAATTGTACTGAACTGATATGCTCAGAATATGTTGACTAATGTAGTCCTGGTGCCCTCGACTGATGTGCAAATAAATTTGATATTTGTTGCTTTCCTACTTTATGTACTGATTATCTTTGTAGTTCAGGAAATCCAGGCATGGGAGACTTTAGCGTTGATATTATGTAGTTTTTAAGAATTGTTTGCAATATTATTTTATCAGCATATTGTGTTGATACCTCCAGTATAAAAGAAGAAAAACAGAAAGAGAATGAATAACAGCAAGGTTTTAGGCTGTATCAGAGTAGGCTGACTTTCATAGTGTGATAGCTCCATTTTAATACAAAGGGCCATTTGGTTATTTGAATGCAAAATTTTCTAGACTTTCCTTCAACATATAAATGGAACTTTTTCCTTTGACCTCTTTTGTCTCCTTAAAGTAGCACTAAAAATATCACTTTTCAGCCAGTTTTGCTATTTATTCATCTCTATATTTGCCTTCTTGTCTTTTCTTCAGTGACTGATTAGGCTTAAATGGCCTTCATATTTATAATTAAAATAGTTTCAAAAATATCTGTGAGCCATTACAACCTGTTTAGAGCAGGCAGTTTGGAATTTTTCCATATATGGGGTGAGACATTGCAAATTTCAAGCACTAGTCCAGCTATCATAGATGAGGACAGCAGAAAAGTAGTATCAACGTTCACTGCCAAGATTTGTTTCCAAGCACGGGATCATATTTGCACTGAGAATGAAGCCTCAGCTTATGGGGACAAGCCACAATGAGGGTTAGAGTGCCCAACCTGCACAGCCTTTGGAAAATAATGTTCCATCCTTTCACCTAGACTTCTCCATTTCCGGAACTGCCAGGACAAGGGAACACCGTCATCACTGAGACTGGTGCCTGTGTTTATACTTTGTGTGACACTGAATTCTTGCCTGAGTAAAAGTTCACTCTTGATTTGTGGACTTCGTCATGCATGTTCCACTCTGCTTTCCCTGCTCTTATTGTCAATTCTCTTGGCTTCCAGGAGTGGATGAAACACTTGAACCTCATCTATATACTTGTTGGAGAAACCCAGCGCATAAATTAACACGTGCAAACATTTTTAACATCCCTGAACGTACCACTCTGGAAATTATTGTAATCATTTGTTTTGATGAAGTTCTGTGGGGGTGCAGCAGAACTAAAAGTATTTGTTTTACCTCAACTTCATTATCTGCAGAGTTTGAGTTCTGGTTTTACCACTCAGCCCCGGTGCTCTGGGAAGCTCAATTAAACTTTCCCAGTCCTGTTTCCTTCACATGCAAAGAGCTTCAGTTCATAGATGAACAAAAGCTACAACCCAGTATTAATATTTATAGATAAAGACAGGACTGTCTTTTTTATTTCAAAAGTTTGATATAAAAATCAAAGATATACTGGGTAGAATTGGCAAAAAGGATAATCCATTGTACAAATACAGAGTACTACTGATTTTGTAGGCTAGGGCAAACAGCCTTTGGTGGATGTATCATTGCCCATACATCTTTATTCTAAACAGCTTGGTCATATTCCAAACATGCATGATTTACCCTATAATTGGCTACTTCATTCCTGGCAACGGATTTTTTTTTTTCCCTCAACAGAATAAAGTCCATACCCTTGACATCCCTTACATAATATGTCCTGGGATGTAAATCCTACATTAAATACTTGAAGTCCCTTAAAAAAATACCACCTATTTTCAACTTGTAGGTCTTGGTTACTGCTGACACCCTTCCCCTTCTTTCCCTTTCTTTGTTGTCTTGTAACTCTTCATAAATACGTTGATTCTTCAGCTCTCAGTTTACCTGTTACTTCCACTTGGAAGACTTTGTAGCTGATTGTGTACCTAACAGGCACCTCTGCAGATATGTTTTGTAGGATCACATCATAGTCATTAAGACAGTTGTGTACCTTTCCTCCTACTCACAAGAAGTCAAAGTCAGTATCTTATTTATGAATTCAATCACAGGCACAGAAGAATCTATTCAGCCAAAGCTGTGCCACCAAATATAACAATTAAGAAGAAAGGCTGTAGGATCGGATAGCCTTCGGTAAAGCACTGACTCTACTTGTGCTCTTCACTTAATTTTTCTAGGACTATTTTCTCACAGATGAAATTGGAATAACAACAGGTAAAGCGTGGTGCCAATTAAAACCTTGGATAACATGAACAGCATTTCCTAGCTATTTTAATGACAACAGTGGTGATAATGATGAAGTTGATCATTAAGAAATTGTTCCTAAACAAAGTAATTAAATAAAATAAATTCACTATAATTAATATTTATTTCTATGCAATCATATAATACAAGTTCTACAAGACTTGCTTAAAACCAGTTCTTGTACTACGTTTACTGAGACTGGTATTAGCATAATGCTTAGTTATCATTTAGAAAAACAAGTTTTATAAAGGTCATGATGGTGATGACCTTAAAAAGAAAGCCTTTCTTTCTAAAGAAGTAGTCATCCTACACAGTTAAGCCTCTGTCAGGACATTTCTTCTAACTACATGTAATGAGTATATTCATTTTAGAAAAAGATAAAAAAGTGAGAAATACCTTTAAAGATGAAAAAGCAAACAAGTCTTTAAACCAAAAATATAACCTATTCAGCAATTAAGAGCCCAATGGTATAAGTTGAACATCTACTGAAATGTGTCAAAACTCAAAACTTGTCAGTGAGTTAATAAGTGGCAGACAATATTGAAATCACTGTTCAATTTTAAGAAGGCATTACAAACTTCAGAAGATAAACACTATAACAAGTACATGTATAATTTCTTTACATAAAAAAGGGATTTAAGTTTATCAAAGAAAAATAACTTTTTAAAAGCAAATTGTGTTCTGAGTTAGAAGAAATTGCTAGTCAAGAGGTCTTGATGAATTGTATTTTTTCCAATGGAAAATATTTTCTGTACTATAGCTAGGTACTGACTTGGGCACTGGGGGGAAAACAACTGCTTTGGATAATGGGGTATGTTTTTAAAAGAAATCTATAAAAACATGATTATAAACCACTTGGCTAGTGCAGATCTAAATTATTAAAATATATAGATGTTAATGATGGTGATCACCACAGTTGAAAAGTATCTAAATGAAATAGCGCAATGCTGTTTATAAAGTACTGCAGCCCAATTTGTCATGATTAGTGGGAAAGCACACTGATATATTTGGTGTGATATTTTGAAGATCACTCAGCTATCAACTTGCCCTAATGCCATTCAATTAAACACACAATAAAAATCTATGATTATTTATGGAAAGAATTTTATAGTGCTGTGGAATAGTATATTACAAATTCTGGCTGTATGTTAAACCAGAAATGCCTGATCTAATGTACCATTAAGTGAACTGTAGCTTTGCTATAATTTTTTAAAGTATTAAACTAATTATGATGAGGTTTGTCATTACTATACACTGTATATTTAATCCTTTTAAGAGCCTATCAAACTGAATCACAAGACACAAGCTGTTTATGCAATAAGCAACCACACGCAATATTAACAATTAACAATATCCTGGTTTAATTAGAGAATGTCCTTGTTATATTAAATACACTTAAGAGTAAAATATCACATAGGTCTAATCTGAACTGGCCATTTAATTATATATTCAAACTAATTTATATGACTTGGAATGTTGTTTTTGTCCATTCTGTCTCTCATGCAGAGCATACTGTACTACTGACCTATTAAAACTAGCTTCTCTATTGGGACCGCAGGGTCTGATTTCATGGTGGAGTCCTGGGTTCCATCCTCAGCACAGAAAAGCAATAAAATAAATACAAGTTATACTGAAAATGAAGGGTAAAATAAAGATTGAGTGAGCCTTGAGGGGAGAGGAGGGGAAGTGGTGCTGGTAGAAATCACAGATGAGAAACCACTTAACACTAATTATCGGAGAGGATTGAGGTCATCAAGTGGATGGGTGAAGCAAGACCCCAGGAGAACCCTTTCTAGCACTCTCTGGGCTGTATCCAGGAGTTTTATGTGTAGAATCTACTTCAGAAATGAAATGCCTTTAGCACCATAGACTAGATGGGACTTCATGAACCTTCTTCTGCTCATGTGTTTTCAAAGATATGGACTGTGCCTTTTGCCCCTGGGTTTTTCAGCCTAAATTCCAGGAAAACCTTTAATCCATAGCAAAAACAATATAGACATAGAATCATGACAATGATAAAGCATAGGTTTTTGAGCCAGAAATTTCAAACTACTGCTTAGTCAGCTAAGCCCTTTCCCCCAGGAGCATGAAATCTAACAATGTATGATAAAACAAGATAATTTCTGGAGGAAAGACAGGCAGTAACAGCAGAATTTAATGCTACTATATGATACAGTCCGAAAGAGGTCATAAAGATTATTTACCTTCACAGATTGTGACGCCATTTCCCGAAAATCCCGTGTTGCAGAAGCAGGCTTCAGCGCCATTGTGTATTTCACATTTTGCGTTTGGGAGGCAACGGGTCTTAGTGCAACTTTGAGGGTGGGAGCAACTCAACAAAGTGGAAAAACCCACTAAATAAAATAGAGAAATACATCTTTTTTTAGAAAAAAAGAGAAAGAAAACCACTCCCCACCTTGTTGAGTTAGAGTACAGTAAATACAAATTTTCCTCTTTCTTTCCATTGTGATAAATAGATAACAACAATAGCATTTAGCTAAATAACAGCACAAAAACAACTAAGCAAAAACATAAAGGCTTCTTTTTTCCCATTTGATCTTTAGCAAGTAAATCTCAAGAAAACTAAAATATAATGAGCAACACGGTTTTATAATAGAAACTTTTCCATCAGTGACCCAATATCACCCTCCAGCCTGAGATGAGAGACTTTGAAAGGTAACTGCGTGTTTGTTAAGTTATTTCCCTCTTCTGAGGGCAAATTTTTGCAGGAAGCAAGGCAAACTGGGTATTTGGGTTTTTTCAAATTCACATCTGTGTTATTTAAAGATATGTTAACATCTGAGAGGACCGGTGCAATAATTTTACCCCCTCTATTGTATGGATTGCCAATTCTGCCTTTTCACAATAAAATTCTGTTTACATTTTTTACATTAAATAAAATTCAGGTAAAATTGAACACACGATTCAAAGATTGTTCTTCCAGAAATGGAACATCACTTAAACACAACTAACGAAAACGAAACAAAACACACAACAAGACTTTCAGAGTTATTGAAAGTAAAGTTGGAAATGATATTTGGTGGACTGTAAGGAAAAGATAAGAAAAAGCAAAGGATGTTCCTGTTTTTATTGTTCCAGGTCTTCCCAAAAGCGGGCTTGGGGACGAACAGCTATGAATCACAAAGTCATTGTTCTGAAAACAGTCATCGGAGATAAATTGTCCTTATCTGTACCCAGAGATTTCTAAACATCCAATTCTAAGTCCCAGCCCCACATCGGAGAGTTTATAGCGTCTAGAACAGAATTAATTCGCCTTCAGAGATATGATTTATTATCTTTCAGCACTGCATCATCATAAAGGTAATTTAAATGAACCCAAAGTCTGGGCAGGCAGGCAATCCCCTTAAAAGGTCAGGAAGCCTTCCACAAGTGTTAATGGCTTGGATTTCCCAGGTTTCTTGGGGCGGGGGGAAGATCAGAAGAAAGGTCACAGTCAAGACTTTGAGGTCTTGGGGGACTTCGCCAGGAGGAATCCAAAGGTAACAGCCCCTGGGCCCTGAATATCAAACTCGAGAGGTTGAAAGGCCAAGGGGACAAACATCCTGCGAAGCGCAGCGTCAGCTCTCCAGGGAACTTCTCCAGACACGCGGGCCACGTGAGCTGCGCGGTGCACCCCGCGCCCCGCGCCCGCCCTGCGCCCGAGGGCGCCGCACTCACCGAGCAGCGGCAGGAGTCTCATCGGAGGCGGCGGTGGCAGCGGCGGCGAGCGGCGGCGAGCGGAGGACCGGGATGCGGGGCGGGCAGCACCGGCCAGGCCCGCGTGTCCCATGACGCGCCGGCTTCCTCCGGACACTTTCCGGCCGTGTGTGTGTGTGTGTGTGTGTGTGTGTGTGTGTGTGTGTGTGTGTGTTGCCCTGATCCTGCTGGCCACGTCCGGCCTCTAACCCCTTTGCCCCAGGCCACCTGCGGTCCCTATCCTGCCTTGGGGGTTACCCACTTCAAACAGAACCGCTGACTCCCTGGGCCTCATTTTGGGGGTGCTACTCTTAGAGCCTGTGCTCACTAGCCAAAGATCTCCAAAGCCCCAGGGACACTGCTGGGAAAACCACCCAACTACACAAAACCGCCCAAGTACGTTTTTGGGGACCTCCCTGAGATCTAAAGTTCAGTACACACCCTTTTTTCCATTCATTAATTAATTTCCTGTGGAAACAATGGGCCAAGGAATCAAGAGATCTGGCCCTGTCAAAAGGGACTCTCCCAATACTTAGTACTCACCTGACCTAAAGGTTTGGGTGGAGGTTAAAACAATCCAGTGAAAAAACAAAACAGAACAAAACAAAAAAACACAAAACTCAAAAACCAAGTGTCAATAATCAAACAGATCAGGAATTATAATAAGTTGTTTTTCATGTTCAAACTAATTTTCAAGTAAAATCTACCTGTATCTCCTCTGCACCCCACCCCCAACAATTTTTGTACCAGGAAAGGTTTTTCGTGTTAATGTCTGAGTTGATATAGAAACAGCTTAGGGATGGTTCAGGTTAGGGCATAGAAACAATTTTAGCTAAAAAAACTAAAAACAACTGGCAGATAAAGTAATTTGTAAGTGACAGCAGATCAGTGGTTGCCTGAGATTGGGACAGGTCTGTATGGACTGCAGAAGTTTGGGGGTCATTGCACTGTTCTGTAGTTTTGTTGGGGTGGTGGTGACATGACTGCATAGATTTGACAAAAAGCATCAAGTCCTGTACTTACAATTGGTGCACTGTATTGTACAAGAAATCGTACATAGTTTAAGTAGAGTCCATTTAAAGAAAGGGGATGACTATTGCTCATTAATGGGAGCTGTTTTACCCTGAAACAGTTGGGCATGCTTTCATCACGTCCCATGGTTTACTTTAATAAATGTCGACTTTAATTTAATAGATCTACACTGTGTAGAGAGCAGCACCCTTATGGAGATGATCCACTGTAGCTCCTAAAAAGTCGTGGCCCATGGAACCTGTGAAATGTTAGGGGAACAACCAAATCTGTTCATAGTGACATCACAGCAAAGACGCATTGCTTGTAAGGCATGTTTCCCTGACTCTGCATAGCATTTCCTAGAGCCTTTCTGGTGTAAGCTGAGTAAAATTTTCCTGAGGGTGACACCACAATATACGAGGTAAACAAGGAACAGAGGTGTTATGTGACTTTGCCAGAGTCACACAGCCTAGTCTAAGTAACTGGCTTTCCTTCAAACCCTGCCTATTTTGCTCTGCACCCAGACTACCAGTTACCCTACTATGTTCTTTCTAGACTGGCATTGCCCCCAGGAGGTTGTTGTGAAAACGGAGAAGCCATCAGATAATGAGTGCTCCTCTGGGAGTTGAAAGAGTCATTTGAATGCTCTAAATGCCACCTTCTCCCCCAAAAGGTCTTTGATTGTCTTTTTTCTTTTAAAGACTTTTTCTTTTCCTTTTCAATGCAGACAGGGAGCAGTTCAGTGGGAAGCCTCTGGTAGAGGTCCACATGCTGGGTTTTAGGGCGACAGCAAAGGTGAGGAAGCAAGAAAAGCCTCTGAACAATCCAGGACACTGCAGTAGATGGCTACAGGAGAGTAGGAGCTTCGAGGCTGGGCCGATAGACACAGATTCCGGAAGGGACTAAGGGTGCAGGGATGTCTGGTTTGCTTGGTAAGGGTGGTGGCTATGCCTGAGACATAAGTGGAGGCCTTCCAGGGGTGGGAGTGAAAAAAGGTTGGAATTATTCACAAAAATAGGCAAGTCAGGAAAAGGACAAGCTTTGAAAGGGTAAAAGAAACGAACCCACTTGAGGAAAACAAACTTGGAAGTGCTGCAAAGATCTTACTGTGCTTTTGTGAAGCTTATTTTTTTAGTCACAGGAGTTTAGTTTCAGTGAACTGCACACACATAGAAGCTGAGGCAGAAGGCTTCCATGTAGAACTACACTATTTTCTGAGACAGTATAAACTGAAGCACAGTACTTATTTAAAAAAGCATTACATTAGTCTGTGATGATTTACTTCATATAACCACTGGACATGCTTAATATTTATTTTTATCCTCACATCACAGAGGACAACCAGATCATTTAAAATGTTATTCTTCCCTATACAATGGTGAAAAATTAGGAAAAGAGAATTATAATTTGAATTTATAATAAAAATATTCTCCAATCTTTCCTTTTGCCTGTGTGTTCTTATGAAAAAGTAAAAGCTTATTCATACTTTTCATCTAAAATGATAATCTACAGGTAGACACAAAGTGTTTAATGATGGTTCTAGTTTTAAGGTTGTTCATTGTCAAGTCAGACCATTAAAAATTTATTGCTTGAAGGAATCTGTATTTCCTAAAGGGATAGGTATAAGACAATCACTGTATAACCCCAGGTCCATTACCTTTACATTACTTGAAAAGAAACATTAAGAATTTTCAATCAAAAATTAAACGTCAGTGAGAGAAAAGCATATTTGAAAGAGATGTTCTCAAAGGAATATTGAACTATAAGTCTACACTTTTATAAAAAATGTCCCTTGGCAACCACTGACGCATGTTTAACTTTTAAAGATACAAGCCTTACTTAGAGCTAGAGTTTTAGCCTCAGTATAACACATGGAAGTTACATCACTTTAAACTGTCTACCCAATTTTGGCTTTAATGGCATACGCCAATGTATTGCAGTATTCGAAGTTGCAGTGTGAGATCTTATCGAGTCTATGCTTAGCTCTACTTTAGATGTGGTTTTTTTCAGGTATGTTTATAATTGCCAAATTAACAGGATTTCCTTGAAAAGTTCTTGGGCAGGTTGGATCTTGCTTTGAAAAGCATTTACTGTGAAGGCCTGGGGGTAGCTACAGCTTTTATCTTGAGTGAGTTCTTTAACTAGTTGGGACTCAGTTGACCTTAATACATGAAAGTAACAGTGCCCCCCATCACAGTGCTTCCCATGCAAGATATGATCTTGTAGCACATTGTGTATATAACGCTACAATGCGTAATATGCTCAGCACTATTGGACAACTGTGCTTTTAACATTCAACACATGTAAGTATATGCAGTCAGTGCACTGTTGAGAGAGAGGCCTTCTCCTGAGATGTATTTACTGTGCCTCCAGACACCCTCACTAGAAGCACAAGCCTGTTTCTGAATTTTCTTCCAGCAACCTTTGTCACAGTGCGTAATTCTCACTTAAGTGTTACTAATGTGATTGGGTTACAAACATTTGTCCAGCTCTGTGATTAAACCTCTAAATATTAGTCACCACACACGTTTGTCTTTTCTCCTTATTGAAATTTTGTCACCCACTTGTTAATTTAGATAATTCTTCAAGATTTCACATTATCACTGCTTCTACAGCAGCCCTAAATGGATTGCTGTATATGTTGCAGTTTTCCAACACGGCTCAGTTTTCATTGAAACAAACATTAACAGTGTACACTTGGCCAAAGTGCAGTAGAAAAGTAGAAGGAAAACTGAATTATATATAAGGTAGGGAAGAATAATTTGACCACTACACAAAGCTGACATTTGAAAAAGATTTAACAAAGCCTTAGAACAACACTCCCAGCATAAGAGAACTCTCAGCAATGCATGAAGCCTGAGGTGTCATAAAAAGGACCTGTTTGGTCTCTTAGAAAATGAGGGACATGGACATAGCATTATTTCTTCCTCTGCACACTGATATAAGTATGGATTTTAAAGGGAACTTATTTACTCACTTGAATGAAGGAATAAGTGATATAGTAAAGTCTTCTTTTTGGAAACTAGCTAGAAATTTCTTGCTTCAGACTTCTTTTAGGTTTCCAAATGCATGTTGTCCAATGGGATGGAGCCAAAGCTCATCTTTTACATTTAACTTAAAGAAAGAGCCAGCAAAATTTAGGCATTTATACAGTTATTTACAATTCCCAAACTGGGGAGAAATAAAGTGCTACGTTCTCTCGAGTGTTAAGTTTACGGCTTAACCAATCAGTAAGGAGAAAGAGTAATATAATGCTCTGGAAATGTGTGTCTCTATAGTCTGTAGAAAGTCTATTTAGTGCCTGTCCACACTTTTTATCAAAAATAAATTCTACTTAAATAACTTTTAACATTTTGTTCTCTAATTATGAAAGTAAGTAAATATTTCAAAGATTATTTTTAAAATTGGCTGTCAAACCTGGAACATTTTACTTTTTAAGTAGGAACTTTGTATGAGTAGGAATATTTGACTTGCTTTTCTTCTGCTAAGGTTTGCAGTGGAGGGGAATGCAAAAAGCATCTGATGCTTTTCAATACAGCATGGAAGGGAGGAGACCCAAGTTCCTTCCCAGGCTTGCTGTTCAATTGTTTTGTGACCTTCAGAAAAATCACCGAGTCTTTGCATGATTCTGGTTAACATTTGCAAATATCTCTGTTTTGTATTGTTTCTTTGCCCCTAAGATTCTGTTCATAAAGATTTATAAACTAACATCCATACACTTAGGAATAGACTTTATTTTTTGGAACCAGGCATTGATTTACAAAGAGAGAGAGAGACAGAGAGACAGAGAGAGAGAGACAGAGAGGGAGAGACAGAGAGAGACAGAGAGAGAAAGGGCATTCTGTGCTAATTGTTTGCCTTTTAGCTGAATTCCAAAGTATCCATTAATCTATTTTCTTTGGTTTGGATCTTTTCCATGTTGTACAAGTATTAAGCCAGCATCTTATACTCCTAGATGGTGATGTTAAATCACCATCTATTTAATATGTTATGCATTTTAGTCATGCTTTCAATATGTTGTATCTCTGATGTTATTCATAGTTGTTTTGCATTGACTTGTCAAAAGTAATACCTTCAGAGGTTATAGAATCCATCTGAATGTGTAAGCAGTGTAAATTATTTCTTTAGATCTGTTCTGCATTGTATTTACATTATTTTTCTGTTATCTTTGTGTTCTTTAATTACTAGCTCATTATATCTTCCAAAAATTGCTTATATCTTTAGGAGAGTTTAATATTACAACTATGTACTAAGTTTGTTACTGACATGAGTTTTAAAGATAAAGGTCTCTATTTACATTTCTAGGGAACTTCATTATTAATATCCTATGACTTTAGGGGCTGGGGATTTAGCTCAGCTGT